CACTCCCGGCGGGGAGCCGCCGCGGCAGCAAGAGCTCGCCTCTGCGAGGAAAGTCGAGCCCAGCCGGACGCGCACCTGTGACCGCCCGGGCTTCAGCCAGCAGCCGCGCACCAGCGCTTCCGTGCGCGCGGGGACCCGGCCGTTGGTGAGCAACTGAGGGGCATCGGCTGTGGAGTGTCCCAGGAGGGGGACTGGAGGCCGAGGAGGAGCAGGCTGTGCTGCCCCGGGGGAAGTGTACCAGGAGCCTGGGGTCAGGAAAATTAGGCAGACTCCTGGGCATTTGTAGAAATACAATTGATTTTCATATATTGATTTGGTGTTGGGCAACCTCAGTTTTAGTTCTCGTATCTTTGTGTGTGTGTGGATTTCATCAGATCGTATACATGAAAGATTGTGTCTCCAAAATGTTCATGGAAATATGTATTATGAGAAAACTGCATAAATCTTCAAAATTTTTTGCACCAAAATAAACTTGTACTTTAATTCCATTTTCCATGAACTTTCTGACGACCGCCCCTCAGATAACTGCAATGCGGAACAATAAAGCAGGAAAACTGGATGGGAAGTTAATGATGAGATATGGCGTGGGTGGTTATTTCTAGGGAGACGCTTGGGAGCAGAGACCTTGAATACGGTGGGGGAATGCGCTGTGTGAATTCCTGTGTGATGAACAGGATCCTGAGCTTGGTGCGCAGAAACATCGAGAAGACCAGAGGAACTCAAGTAATGTGAGTTGGGTACAGTGTTCGGATAAAAGCAGAGACCAGGAGTCTCCAAACTGTTTCATATCTCAAACCTCTATCAGTAAAAAAAAAGCAACAACTACTTTTGGACATGCATCCCTAATACGTGTATATTTGTATTGTCTACCTGGTGTCATCAACATAGTATGAAAGCATCATTTCTTTCTGTATGGAAAAAAGTAAACATAAACATGAATCCTAATAGGTTCTCCATTTGCCCCATAGATCATGTTAATCCTGTGCCCAAAGGTCATGACCTGAGGCACAGCAATTGCCAGAAGCCTGAATGTTACCTGAAGGAATTACTCCAGTCATTGGCATGGACCAAGCTTAAACAGACCTGGAGGTTAATTTGTTGTGCTGACATTAATGGTTGGGGCTCCAGAAGAAAATGAGGCGAGTTGTAAGTGAAGATGTTATGTTTTATCTCTATAGCCAGGTGACAGTGAACTAGTTAATTGGGCACGGAAGGTGGTGGTGAAGGTCAGAAGAGTAATGTTTGTGTAGGTAACATGGTGAGCAATGGTATGGTGTACTTAGGAAAACCTTTTATTTAGAAATGGCAAGAGGAGGAGCTTATGTGAGAGCCTTTAGCAGAGGCTGGCGCAGAGTAGGCACTAGAATATTCATTAAAAGAACTCTGGTAGGGACCATCCGATGGCATAATGGTTACTTTGCTGGACTCCCATGTAGTGGACATGGTTTGAGTCCTGGACCTGGTGACTTAAAACCCATACTGGGTGCGTGTGCACACATACCCAAAATCCCTAGAGGAGAATGGAGGAGAAGGGATTGTGGCATGGCCATTTTGGTTTCTGTCTCAGTCTCTCTGGCAAGTACATGTGTCCTATAGGAAAAAACAACAACAACAACAAAGAATTGTGATGGTCTATTGGTTTAGACAATGGTTTGTTCTCTATCCCCCTCAAGGTTCATACTTTTGAATGTCTCCCCAAAATCCATGTGTTGGAATTTGATTGTATTGTAAAGATTTTAAGCGAAAACTTAATTCCTTCGTGGTGTTTCAGGTTGGGATGTGAGGGTATGATAAGATAATGTTATTAGAACAGAGTCCTTACGATTCAATTCTGTTGGATATTTATATAAGCAGAGGAAACAAGACATGGAACGTGATGGACAGCCACTCTGCTCTGGATCCTACCCTCTGCTATGGTGTAGCCTCACTAGCGGTTGAGCCTGGGACAGCAGACTTCTAAACTGTGAGCAGAAAAAAAGGTATTTCTTTATAAATCACCTGATTTCAGATATTTCTGTTAGCAACGCAACATGGACTAAGACAGAAAATGGTGTAATTGGCAGGACTGAGTTGCTACACACATTTGAAAATGTGGGGCAGCTTTGGCACTGAGTTTGGCTTGAAAAGGCCTAGATTCTGGTGGAGACTTGGAAGCAAAACAGTTTACGAATGCGCTGAAACTCTTTAAAGACTGGTGAAATGGTGGTGACCAGAATACTGATAGAAATATGAACAGCAAGGCTATTTTGGGATGGTTTCTGAGGAAATGAGGAATATCTTTTCCCCCTTAATTGTCAGAGGGTGTGTTGGTGTGCCAGAGACAAAGAGACAGGGAGGGAGTGAGAGGGAGACAGCGCCTCCTTAACGAGGCATGGTCATGTCACAATGTTTTTACCTCCATTTCTCTGTCCTGTCTAGATTTTGGGCATGCACATATACATGTCTGGCATGTTTTTTATATAGCTGGGGCCAAGTGGGAGTACAGCAATGTAACCACTAAGATGAATCTGAATCCCCCTACTTCTCACCTTTCACAAAAATCGAGTCAAGGTGGCTCAAAGATCTAAATCTAAGACCTCAAATTATAAAACTGCTCCTGGAAAACACTGGGGAAACTCTGGGAGACATTGGGGTAGGAAAAGACTTCTTAAGCAAGACCCCCAAAGCACAGTTGATAATCCCCAAAATAGACAAGTGGGATTACATCAGACTAAGAAGTTTCTGCATGGCAAAAGACATAGTAATTAGTATGAATAGACAGCCCTCAGAATGGGAAAATATTTTTGTAAATTATGCATCAGATAAGGGATTGATAACCAGAATTCACAAGGAACTTAAACAGCTGTTTGGAAAAAAGATGATCAACCCTAATAAATATGGGAGAATGAGTTGAAAAAAACCACTCCGTAAAGATGACATACAAATAGCCAAAAGGCATATAAAAAATGCTCAACATCTCTCATTGTAAGGGAAATGCAGATCAAAACAACAATAAGGTACCATCTAACCCCAGTCAGAATGACTAAGATTAAAAAGAAAAAAAAAAAAGATAAGTGTTGGTGGCGGTGTGGTGAAAGGGGAACTCTCTTACACTGCTGGTGGGAATGTAGATTGGTCCAGCCACTGTGGAGAACAATTTGGAGATTCTTCGAAAATCTACAAATAGAACTACCATATGATCCAGCAATCCCATTCCTTGGTATCTACCCAAAGGACAGAAGAATTCTTAATCAGAAAAGTGCTTGCACACCGATGTTTATTGCGGCACTATTCACAATTGCTAAGTCATGGAACCAACCCAAATGCCCACGAACAGATGAATGAATAGAACTGTGGCACATATACTCTATGGAATACGATTCAGCCATTAAAAAAAAAAAAAAAATCCCAAACCCTGGCTTTTGACCGAAAGTGGAACAATATGGAAGATTTACTGCTGAGTGCAGCAAGCCAGGCTATGAAGAAGAGACTTTGTATGTTCCCATTTAATATATACTGAATGTCCACACTCTATGACAGAAACTGATTGACTAAAAGATATAGAAACACAGTAAATGGGTGTAAATACCGGATAGTGTGTGAAAGAATAGGGTCTGAGGAAGGACACTTAGGAAAAAAATAGGGAGGCAAAGCATTAACGTGACAAAGAAATGTGGTATTACCTGTTGATATTTTACAGTTTTATCATCTGGAATAGGGAGAAATATTCACATGTTGAAATATTCACTTTGTAAGCTAAATAATGTGATCGAAGGTATAAAAGGAAATGAAACAAAAAATGTAAATAAGGAAGTATTTTATCTAAAAATAAATAAATAAATGAATGAATAAATAAATAAATAAATAGCTGGGGCTGGGATTGGAACTGTGGTTAGACATATGACATAGCTCCCTTAACCACTATGCTATGGGGCTGGCCCACAGTGACAAATATCTTATTGGAAATTGGGGGAAAAGTCATATGTGTAACAGCACAGCAAAAAATTTCGGCTGCAAAATGCTTGTGTATTTAAGAATGATGAAGATCTGGCAAATGAAATTTCAAAGCAAAGTATAAAATTGCAGGGTTGTTTTAGCTTTTAGTGAAATGAGAAATGAATAAAATGTTTTAAAGCTGGAACTTATTAAAAGAGAAGCAGAGCAGACGGGAGTTTTGCAGCCTGGTCATGTGGCAAAAATGAAAAAGTATGTTTGTCAGAAAAAATTGTGGCTGAGAGATTGATTGTTAAAGACATTATCAGGGCAGAAAGGATCTAGGTAATACTTGTCCAGAAAAATGGAAGAAAATCCCTGAAGGCCCTGCACCTTCCATTACAAGTACAGATGCTTAGGAAATGAGAATGGTTTCAGGGGATTGGCCCAGAGTGAGGTAGTTATCTTGAGCCCCCTCTGGACTGTGTTCCCTGCATCCCAGGAAAGCGTTACTCAGGCCCGTTTCCAGTGGCTCCAGGTGGAGCTGCTGTGAAGGCTGCTGCTTCACTCTGTGTTCAGGACCATGCAAGTAGCAGACACTGGTAGTGTCTTAGATTCCAAAGAATGCTTTGGAAAAGTCTGGGAGTTTAGGCAGAAACCTGTCGCTAGAGCAGAATCACTTCAGAGTTTCCGTGAACACAAAGACAAGTGGAAATGTGGGTTGTCCAGGGAAGGTAGCTACAGGTAGTTGGGCTCCTGGGTCTGAAGCTCCATTTGAGTCCCAGGGGCATTTAGAGGAGCTGGTGTTATAGGACCAGATGAAACCATCCAAAGAGTGAGTGCAATGAGCAGAGTGGAGGCTGGGGCCCCTACATCAGGGGAGCACTGTGGGCTGAGGACTGCGGCTCCTGATCTTTCTCAAGGTGTCAGACAGTGTTAGAGCCTGATAAAACCTTTAATTTATTAAAAAGAAAACAAATACAAACAACTTTATTTTTACAATACTTAAAAAAATCACAACATGGGTTCATTGTTCAGGTGCAATGGTGGGCAGTCCCCTCCAAAGTCTTTGCTCCTGAAGCCTAAGGAAGAGGGTGGGTGTCAGAGAAGGTATCTTGTCCCTTGCTCTGACTGGTACCCCCATGCTGCAAATCCCTAGAACCCGTCTTTACCCAGGGTGTCCTCCATGCTCCTTGCCCTGAACCAGGCCCACCCTTAACCTTGAGGAGGGAATTAATGTAATACTCTGTAGAATTTCTGCTTTCATAGCTCTTTGTGGTCAGTCCCTACAAGATCTGGTTCTCATGATCCCATCTGGGTCACCTCCTCCCTCTGGTGTCCTGCCATGGCCTTGGCCCTGTTTGGCCTGATCCTGTTCTCTGTGGTCCCTCTCCAGTCTCCCCTTGTTTGGGCCTCCTGCTCCCATGCCATCCTCAGGCAACAGCATTTCTGTGGTAAGAGTATGACCATCCTGGTCCAATCCATTTGGTTCTGCTCCCACATCTCAGGATCTCATTTCTTGCATCTCCCTTCTGGTGCTGGACTCAACTGCCCCAGCTTTGCATGACCCAGCCTCTTGCAAGAATCACCCCTGGATACCTCCAGGAAAGTGTTTGCCTTAAAATGCAGACTCTGAAGGTAACAGACTTAGGATCGGACCTCATATTTGCCAGTCATCTCCTAAAACAGATTTTGGAAGTTGTCAGAAACCATTCACACTTTCAAGCAGATGCCCACAATCAAAATCCTCCATATCTAACTCATAAAACCAAGAATAGCAGATATATTTTTATATCTGATAAAACATTTAACTGAATTGGTTACTATCACCAATATGGTGACATAGACAGAGGAGCCCTTTCTGAAGTGACTCATGATGACTTCATAGTTTATTTATTTTACATTTTAATTGTGGTGAAAAAAAAATAATAAAATTTACCTTTTAGTCATTTAAAGGCATAACATTTACTAGTATTGAGTTTATTCACTCTGTGTGAACCAATCAGCAGAACTTTTTCACACTTTTTAAACAATAGCTCTTCTTTCTTGCTTCCTCCAGCCTGTTGACTGCCATTGTATTTTCTGTTCTATGAATTAGACACATCTACATACCTTAGGTAACATAGTTGATTTTTTTTCTCTTTTTTCTTTCATTTTCTTATGTTTTTAACATTTAATCACTGTACATCTGTACAGCATACAAAATGGATTTTCCCAGTATGAATACACTGTCAAAGATATTATTGTATACATTATCATCAGCAGATAATTTTCCATTTTATGTTCATTAAATGTTTTGCTTCATTTTTCCACCCTTGATTCCCTCCCTTCTACCAACACCCCTCATTGAAAGTGGACAAATATGGAAGATTTAATGTTGAGTAAAGCAATCTAGACTATGAAAGAGAAGTATTATATGCTCCCACTTAATATATTCTGAATGTCTGCACACTATGACCGAAACAGAAATGCTGGAAGGTAGAAGGCAATTGGGAGCCTCGTTTATTTAAAAACAATCAGAAGTAGGCCTGGCACAGAGAAAGAAAGCACCTCTGGTGTCAGTAAGCCCTTGTGTCCTTCCTCACTGTGTACCTCTTCATTTACCCACTCATCCACTCACCCAAGACACAGTGTTCCAGACGTGGTTAGGTCTGGGAGACGCAGTATTGAGCACGTGAGCTGTGTGGACCTGTCTGCAGTTTCCTGAGTCCAGTGAGTTCTTTATAATTCCTTGCTTTAGTTGATGTGGCTCCTTGGCCTGGAAGATTCTTTCCTCCTTGTCTTCTGGAGGACACCTACCTTATGTTTATAAGAACTTTACATGTAATCTTCCTTTCAGAAGCCTTTTGGATTCTATAAGTCCCAGCCCTATTGCTCTTTGAGCCATACTCTATGCCAAACCATAGTAACTTTACCAAGTTCCCTTGGTTAGATCTAAGGTACTAGGGAAGAAGAAATGCACGCGGTCCATCCTGGCATTACCAGTAGCTGCCACAGCATGCACATGTAGGTGTTTGGTAAATGTTCGCTGGCACTTGGGTGTCTGATCACTCAGCACCGAGGTTTT